TATATATATATATATATATATATATATATATATATATGCAGCATTTTAAAGCTAAACCCTATTTTCCCCCTGCAAACATTAAATGAAATCCACAACACACTGTTGACTAAGCTTTAAGCTTCATGTTAGATTATGAATCTACCCCCTCCTTACTCACTCTACCGCCACCTCCACCAAAATAATCAGGATAATTTCTATTCATTATTACACCTCCATTTATCTGCAAGACGAGATGTAGGGAGGACGGGGTATAACTCTGAGGAATAACAATACCATTAAAAAGCCTGTGCGGCAAATATCAATCATTGTTGCCGTTAATGTCCCTCCAGCCTATTCAGATGGCCTCTCTCTTTTCCTAATGTCCACCCATCTGTGTGTGTGTGTGTAAGTGTGTGTGTAAGTGTGCAAGTGTGTGTGGCTGTTATATTCAAAGCCCTTTAATCAACAATCGCTGCATCTGGGCCAGATAATGAATGGCATTGTTTATAACCTCAGTCCTGTATCGGGTGATAAATGCATACGCGCCTAATGCTATCATTTGAATAAGAAATGAGATTGTGCTTTATTTTAATATCCAGGAGAGATTGTCTTAATATAAATTTCTTGGTAAAGCTGTGATGATGATGGTGCTGATGATGATGATGTTCCATTTTGTCAACCAGCCAAAGGATTAAGCCATGACAATAAAACTGTGAAGATACAAAATGAAGCAATTGTTTATGATTCATGGCCTGTGACAATACGATATAAACAGGAGTGGTTAAAAAGCAAAGGGAATTGCATTCAAGTGGAAAGCAGATTTATTGAGTCACAGATTTACAAAAAAAACAAACAAAAAAAATTGCTTTGTGAGCATTACTCAAACTCTGAAGCAGGTTTCTCTGAATCCACTGAAAAGAATTCCTCTATCACATGAGCGCTGATGTGTGTGCAAAAGCTCTTGTCGTGTTTATTTTCCATTCTGACACATTTAGCGAAACTGCCTTGCCATGTAACACACGATCCTCTGTGCTTTATAGTTGTAAAGTGGCAGAGGGAAAGCAAGTCTGGCTCAAACATCATCAAAATTATGCAGGAGGTGTTATGAAAATAATATCACGCTCGGTTTAGATGAAATATTGTATGTGCTGATTGCTAAATGGACTACAAAAATTCAGTGTCACTCACTTTGAACTCTTTCAAATGACCACAAATCTGTGTCTTGTTTTTTTTAACAGTAATCGTCATAAGAATGACGCACCTGACTGCAACTTGAAACCCTATAGTTAAACCAGTTTTTACTTTACTTTCTATACTTGTTGACAAAATGGCAGAAAAACACCCCAAATGTGTTAATATTCACACTGTGTGAGGTGTAAGCTATAATGTATAATTTATTAAATTTTACTTTCACAACCAGAGATATAAAACAGTGTGGACAGTATATATTGCTGAGGTAGAAACAGAGCAATATGCTTTTCACACTGCAGCGGTGTACAAAGCCTCATTTCAGTCTTTTCAGTAGATTTTGAAAACTATTTGTGTTTTCACACTTTTTTTTTGCATGGTAAATTCAAAAATAGGAACAAAAAAACAAAACAAAAAAACAATCCTGCACAACAGATCCCATATGATGAAGAAAAGAAAAAAACAGCGCAGGCAATTTCCTGGCACTATTTCCTCAGTGACATTATCCCACTGGAATAGCAGTGGTGCAGTGTTACAACCTTGCGTGTTGCCACAGTGGAATACAGATAGAGAACAGCTCGGCGTTTGCCACCCGGGGACTTTAGCTGTCCAAATCTTTGACAGTTTCTTAGCAGCTCCCGGCCCTTAAACTGTGAAAGATTCCAGCAACAGATAGGGAACCTCCACCCCCCCCCACCCTCCACACCCAGGCCCCCCTCCATATCAGGCAGAATCATTGATAAAGACAGCCATTCAGGGATGACACTGATAGCTGCTCCAAAACCATTCGAAAAGTGATTTGCCTGCCATTTTAGCTGCTGCTGCCCTCTTTATGATGCACACGTGTCCAGGAAGACAACGAGACTGCTTATACAGAAGGAATTAGGTGGGGCCTTAAATGGCCACAGATAGGTAGTCAAATTTTCCTCAATTTATGTACATGAAATATTAACTGCAATTAATCTCCACATATTCAACTTTGAATTTGTTTGAGTGGATCAATTTAAAGTAATTGGATTTTCAAAAATCCCCTTCATTACAATGTCATGTCAATTTTAGATGCAAGTGAATATCTCAAGAACTACTGCAATCCTTCTAGTTGGTGCTTTTCTCAGAAATCCTTCATGCAGTGTTTAGATCATTTGACATAGAGGAGCGGCTGCATATTGTTAGCCAACCAGGGCCCAGTATTGTGAGGACTCTACACGTTCATTCAATAAATACCCTTTCATTGATATTGAATTTATTTGTACAACATAATGAAAACCATAACTCTCAATCTTATCCTTTAAAATCTTATGGAGAGGATATAGCTATTGCTCTGAAATACCTGCTGGAGAGTCTGATGTCAACATCTTCAAATATTTACCAGAAAAAGGTTTAAACTGCTAATCAGCAAAACACTGATTGTTAAAGTAATGTAGTAAAAGTCAGTGCATTTTATATCCTGTTGATTTCCTCGTGTAATGTTAAACATCTAGCAGTGGTTTGTAGTGAAACTGGGTCTGGACAGACATTTTGAAAGCTGGAATATTTTCCTCTAAACTGCAAAAATGTTTCATGATGGCTTTAATTTACTGCGTTTGTAGGCCAACTCAGACATGAGATGGAGACACCGTCTCTACTTCCTTGTCTCCTTCTGCTCCTGCATCCCTTCACCCCTCCTCTTGCCTCCATTCCCATCTTTGGTCCAAATGAATGACGCCAGCTGGGGTCGGCCGGCTGATGCTGGCCCCTGCTAGGTGGCACTGACAGTTGAATTATCCCACAGGCCGCGGCGGCTGATTATCAGCGGAGAAGTCATCAGGGCGTCCCAGCCTCCCCCCAACCCTCCAATCCCCAATCTCTCTACCCCCCCATCCTCGTCCCCATCCCCCTGTCACCCCTTGTCAAGAGAGGGACGCCTTCTCCAAGCTCGCCGCACGGGTCCTCTTGACAGGTAATCTCAACAGTAACAATTACCGCCATTACTGGTGTCATAAACAAGTGGCCGACCCCAAACCAGGGCAATAACAAAGGCTTTATAATTCACCATGCAAGGCCATATAAATACATGCCAACAGGTAACAAGTAATCTAGCAGAGAGGATGAGGGCCGGTGCTCCCAGACACTGGACTGAATCAGTTGTGTGTGTGTGTGTGTGTGTGTGTGTGTGTGTGTGTGTGTTTGCAGCAAGGAGCTGTGTGGGTAAAGGGTGAGGATGCAGGAGCAGATTGAAGTCGAGGCTGCAGACGCACATTTAAATATAATCACATAAGGAAAAGGGTTTTAGTGTGTGAATATATTTGATTGGGTGCAAGTCACCTTTGCTTGATGTTTAAATGCAGCCGTGTGCAGTGAAGCAGTTTTGTCAGGCTATTGATGAGACCATTTTATCTGAGAAGGTTATTGATTTTGAGCATGTTATTGATTTAGCAATAGAGGCAATACTTCACTGTAAATCTTTGATTATCAGAGAGAAAGAAATGACACTCAGATGCATCAAATAAATGTCTTCCTGTCTTGAATATTGACATAGGAGCAAAAATCCCAATTGGGAATGAAACAGGGGCATTATAATTTATTATTAATAAAACACATTTGATTTAAGAAAGAGCTGATGTGAAATGAAGTGAAACACTGATGTGTTTTAATATTTCACAGCATCCCATCATAGACTATAGCTATAACGATAAACTCATATTATAAATTAGTACATTCCTTATTTCTAACACTTCTTCCCTTTTTTAAAATTAATTTGAGTAGATTTGAAATCATGCTCGGTTCGTTAATAATTTCACGCATTTATTTATCATAATAATTTACGCCAAATAATTCTGCCCAAATGCATTGTGCCTTACCATTTGAAGTTTGGGCCAGATTGCTTCCTCTCCTCAGCAAAGCAAACAAGGCGTTGTGGCCTGGAGCGCTAAAATAATTTGAGACTCCCTAATGAGGAGAGCTGAGCAGCAATTAACACGTGTCAAAGTCGACATCATCAGGTGCCACTCTCATTTTCTTCCCAAGACTCAATGGATGTTTTTTTTTTTTCTTCTCCTCCCGTTTCCTCTTGTTTATTCCCACCCGACGGCGACGGTGGGGGGGAAAAAAAGAAGAAGAGGTTTCCATTTCTGATGCGGCTGGACTGTGGCGCATTTAACGATCACTAGTTAACGCCGTCGAAATTGTCACGCCGACGTCTCGCCTCATCCTTTATTCGTTTTCTTTCTTTCTTTCTTTCTTTCCTTTTTTTTTTTTTTTTTTTTGCAGCGGCAGTCAGATCAGACAGGCCAGTTAACGGTGCATAATTCCTGCAGGAGCGATGCTCCGAGCAGAGGAACAGGCGAGGAGGAGGGGAGGGGAGAGGAGAGCAGGAGCTGCGGCGGAAACCTTGATGCTGCCGTGAATTCTGCAAAATCCCGACAGATTCCATTTTCAGACTAGCAACAAGTCAGCTAAATCATTTCAGATAAATTAAGATAAAAACGATGTATTTTTTTTAAATGTGTGCAGGAGGAGTAATATTTATTTTCTTTATCCCCTGTTTAAGAGCATAGTTTTGTACAAAAACTGAGATCAAAAGCTGTAATTAGGTTAAATAAAGTCAAGCAAATAAAAGAAAATAATTGTAAAGTAAATACAAATTACGAAAATATATTTTAATAGATTAACTTGTATCAAATGTATCATCATTTAGATAACTACTTTTAAAAACAGCTTACTTACGAAAATTAAATCCTTTTGTTTTTGTATTTTATTCATTAAAGGAAGAATACTAAATACCTAAAGAATATGTACATACAGGATTACAAGCACACTGGAAATTACTAAAATAAAAATAAAAATCAAATGTGTAAATCACAAGTGTCTTTTATAATAGTTGACAAATGCATTTTATTACAGAATTAAAACAGGTAATTTAACTTACATCTTACAGCCTATTACATACACTACACTCTGGTGATTAAACAGCCATGTTGTGAGTTTAAATTTCCAAATGAAGTGTCAAAAGAAATTACTGTCACATTACTCTATTGACAAAATGACTTCCATAAGCACAATTAGAGGGCACAATGTGAGTTCTCTGCTGAGCTCAATTTTTATTTTTATTTTTATTTTTACAGTAATAATTTATGACAATTAAACTTCTGGAAAGTCTGGATGTAAAACACAGACATGTTTAATCTCTAGATAATTTACCCCACAAATGTCAGTGTGCTTACAAAGATGAATAACAAAAAAAAAAAATCTACCTAGCAACAGCAGTCCAGAAACCAAAACACATCAACAACATTATGTAGCAACACTACAAACTCATCTCGCAGTTTATGTGTTCACCAGTTTTCATCTTTCTCTGCTCCCCCAGATGCAGCATAAGGAAAGAGAAAGAGAAGAAGAAAAGGAGGAGGAGGTGTTTTGTTGTCATTCTTCTGACCTGAGCCGCTCATCTTCCTCAGAGCTCAGCGGGAGCTCGGCCGGCGCTCGCCTCGCCTACCCAGGGTCCTTTTGGTGTGTGCATATCATTTGCATACATTTCTCGCCAGCGGATGAGGCCTTGTTCTCATTAAAGCCTCGTCTCACAAATTCCCTCCCAGAATCCTGCTGGTCCTCGCTGCCCTGAATCCATACCTGTGGCGGTGGCCGCTGATGATGGCATGCTGTTGTCCAAAAGCAACCAGACGTGGGTGTGAAGATGGGGGGTGAGGAGGGAGGTGGGCAAGAGAGAAAGAGAGGAGATGTGTAGGAAGAAAAGGCAACAGTTTCTGTGCAGTGAAAACAAAAGAGAAAGCAAAGGAGAGGAAGAAAAAACTGCAGTCAAGAGAGAGAGAGAGAGAGAGAGAGAGAGAGAGAGAGGATAAATGAATCCTCTGTGTGCGGTGGAGCTTTCTCTCCCTCATAGTCTGCGTATGTCTCTCTCTCCTCTCTCCCTTTCTGACTCTTGAACCAGACTCCTTTTTGTGTTAAGCAGCTCCCTCTCATGACAGATCTCTGGTGGGGTCAGGGGTCAAAGTTGAGGATAGGGTCAGCTGTAACACAACATGCAAGGGAACTCTCCAAACTCTAACTCTCCTCCTCCCAAATTTGTCTTCTATCACTCTGTCCCCCTCAGCAAAAAAGTGCTTCATGAGCTCCAGGGTGATGAATTATTGCACCTTTAAAGTATAAAGATAAGTGCATTGAAAAGACCAGAACCAACAACACGTCACTGGAAGTTCAGCTGAAAAGAGGAGTGTGTTTTAAAAAAAAGAAGGGCTGCATCGGTCGGGCGTGTTGCTTCATATATACGATTCAGGAAGTCCACTTTGATTAATAGATCCACAAGTTAGAAGGCTTAGACTCCGAAGCACCTCATGCCAGTTTATAATCTACGAGACCAGATTTTACAAGTGTGGAAAGTTATAGGGTAACAGTGTGCCCACAGTGTATGACTTCAATGATCCTAAGATAAACAGTAGAAATACAGCGTTGACATTACAAAGGAATCTACCAGGAATGCGCGCCTGCACGTATTTGACTGGCCAATGCGGCACCTTTCCTGATAATGCTGCATCTATTTTTTTTTTGCCCGACGATGCTGTGTGGTTTTTGTCAGAGCTGCCTGCGTTGGCACCTGCACTGACCTCACTGAAATGAATGAGAGGACTGCGTTTTTCACACTGTGCCTCGGTGCCTTTCTCAATACTTTCCAACGTTCCTACCTGAAGAAATGTATATGTCACAAATATAAAAAAAAAGGATAAATAAGAACAGGGCACTGGGTATTTGGTAGATGTTACTCAAATATGAGTACATTTGTTGGACTATTTTAAACTGCAGATTATTACACATTTGGTGTGTATTAACGATAGCAGGATAGAGTTTATGGAAATTAGTGCAAATAAACTACAGTGCTACATGTTCATGGTAATGAAGGAACATGTCACCCAGTGCAACATTTCTGTGTTTTTAAAAGTTTTTGGACAATAATGGAGCTCTATGGAACAGAGGAATGAGATAGATATCAGGGTTTGGTTACACTTGTTAGTAGATCAGCTCTTTGACTTGTTGGTTTTGGTCTTTTCATGCAATTTGTTAGAAGGGGAAAAAAAGAATATCACCAGCCTCCTCCTTTGAAAGTTTTGTATGCTCCCATGAAACAGAAGAGCAGAGGGAAGAGTTGATGAAGTCAAAAGCACGACACAGAAGGAATTTATAGACATACTGCATGCATGTAGTGCTATCCCAGGCACAGACTCACTCACACTCACATGCAAAATGAATCAACACATAGTACAAACATGGAGACAAACCACATCACTCAAACCTCCACACCACTGAACACAAGTAGAGAGCGAAAAACAGAGAGAGGGAGAGGGGAAAAAAATGATGAAGTCGGACTTGAACATCAAACAATAAACAGTCCATTAAGTCTGTGGGTGGAAGGGTTTGGGGGTGTGGGGTGGGGTGCAGATTGGGGGGCGGTGAGGCAGATATTGGGGAGGAGGGGGTAGAGGAATGATGAGAGTTTATTTAAAGCATGGTGAACCCGTGGCCGAAGGCTGCCTCGGTGCAGGGATGAATAAAACTTTAATGGCTCATAAAACACAGCGACCCCTTCTCCGAGCCCAGCTTCACAGCGTTTATTCCTGCTGGGCCGACCAATCAGACTGCTCGAATCTCCAAACACACACAGACACACAGGGAGAGAGAGAAAGAGAGAGAGAGGAAACATAGGGGGGTTAAAGGAATAGTTCAATATTTTGGATATTGGAGATTTTTTTTATTTAAGAGTGACATCAGAGTTATTCTCATGTCTGTGTGTTAAGCATGGAGCTGGAGTCAGGACTAATTAAAGGTCCAGTGTGTAAAATTTAGAAACATCTATTAAAAGAAATGGAATATAATATCATCATAGGTATGTTTTCATTTGTGTATAATCACGTGAATATAGGAATCTTGTTTTTGTTACCTGTCATCAGAACGGACAAATCAAACACTGGCTGTAGGTTTTTCGGAAGTTTCATGGCCACCATAGTTTCTCCTATACACACACCTATTCACAGCCTGTCGTCATATACAGACACCAGCAGTGCTCAGTTAGTTGCAATCTGCAACTTCAACGCTAGATGCCATTAAATCCTACATGGTGGTCCTTTAACACATATCTCAATTGTTTGCTTAACCTGTACATCAATAGAAAAGTAAAAACCACAATTTGATTCTGTGCAGAACCTCTGGTTGCAGCGTTGGTTGCCAAAAATCTTCAGTGAGCACAACGTTTGGTTTTGGTGTCTGTGCGGGCTCAATGGCAGCAAACTTGGCAACTTCACGTGAAGACAAGACTTCAGGATGTTGTCCACTGGTAATCGGCAAGAAATAGTTCCAACACTCAACTCCAACTAAAACTACAAACTACCGTATTTTAATTTTAGTTTGTGTTGTGGTTAAATAAATAAGGTACTGGGTGTAAATTAGAGGTTTTGGTAGGCTTACTTTTAAACTCTTAGACATAGGCTGGCTAACTGTTTCAACCTACTCATGTTAAGCCAGGCTAATCACATCCTGACTCCAGCTAGGTAATTAACACACAGACATGAGCTGCTGATAAAAGAGGAGAATTTTCGTTGTGGCAGTGGAGGTAGAAAAACAGAAACAGAGAAATAGGGAGAGCAGGGTGAGAAACGATAGAGAGACAGATGAGACCACAGATGAGGCCGTGCTATTTATCCTGATAGAGTTTCACACAGACGTGTAAATCACACACACACGCTGGCCCTTAACCTTTTTAGCACAACACTGCAAAAGTACAAACTATCACCAGCGGTTTAATCAAACCCATGTGAACTGTACTTTTTGCCAAGCACCATTTGCCTCTCTGGAAATGGGCCTGTGACAACCTGAAGCTGGTGTGTCAATCCACACCGCCGTCACCTCGGGGTGCTGGGATCTGTAAACAAGCAGCTGTCACCTTGTTTAACGCTCAGCCATTTTCTTACCCACCACTTCACTCAACCTGTGATGTTTGCTGAATTCCAGGAGTCATTATGTTGATGTGTTGAAGTGTTGTAATTTGCATTTTTAGTAGCCACTTTTCCCAGGATTGCTTCATCTAATTCCACTTCAGTTAGCGATAGCCTACATTTCCCAGAATACTTTTGGTCAAATCCCCAAAAAACGAGGTCTAACTTAAACATGGTACATAATAATTGTGATAATAATATGCATCATAATTTCCTACAGATTGAACATGTAAAATGTTACAGATTATAGTTTATACAAGATAGTTTCCTAATTGTGACTTGGAAACATTTGCGCAGTAAAGTGAGAGGAAAAGTTCAATAATTTAGACATCCAAAGACAGATAACTGATGTAAAAATGGGCAGAAGATATGTGGAAAAACATGATTTCATCTTTTAAAGCTCATGCAGAATAATTTTTTTGTCAGCATCTTTGTTGTTAAAATAGATGTGTATTCCCCTTTGTGACTGTATGAGACAAAACGTTTAATGTGTGTGTTGCATATGTGTGTGTGTGTGTGTGTGTGTGTGTGTGTGCTACAGTCCGTGACCCTCGCTACCCCTCTCTCTCCTCCTTATTCAGCCCAGTGGGTGTCATTCTCAGGTCATGAGACTGTAAATATACACAGTTAGACCCCAGAGCCATAAATCAGAGTGAACAGCCTGAACTCCTACATGGACAGATAACATGAGACAGACATGATACGCCTGCTGGAATAAATAATAATAGCATATTCACAGCTTACAGTAAGATAGTAATAAAGATCATATTAACACACCTAACACTACTACTACTGTTACACATTACGAGTACAGAACTATAAAAAACACTATAAGTTACTACCACTGCAACACATTGTGTACTATTACTATGACTACATTACTGTAACATACATTTTTAATAGCCCACTTTACCCAAAATAGGCCTGATAAAAGCGGCAAAACATTCATTTTTATTACTACCACGAATATTACTATAACTGCAACAAACACTGTAACTAACATTCGTGCTAACAGTTAAAACAAATACTATTCAATCTCAGTTCATTTAAAATAATTCAATGCAATCAATTGTGCAATGTTCAAATTAAAGCTAAATAATATGAATGATGAAGACTGTAAAATGCAGCTGAACGCTCCAAAAAAGTTAGAGAGTGGGTCTTGAGTTGAGATTTTTTTTGTCATACGTGCTGATCCCAAGCCCAAGAATGGACTTTTCAATATTATCAAAGCTCAGAGTTAAGACTGATATATATATCTATATTGACCAAACCATATATTCCAATATCATTACTATGACTACAACTTGTACAACTACAACAAATACTATGACCTTCACCACTACTTCTTGTTGATGTTACAGCTTCCAATTATGTTACAATTACTGGTGTTTATTCTGATGCTGTTGGTGATTTTAATTCTACAGCTGTACATCAGTTGTACAGATTTTGATAATGTTATTATTAAAAATTTCCATAATTCATATTGATTTATGCCATGGCAATGTGTATAAAGTCTTGTTGTCTTTGTGCTCTCAATACTGTGAAGTCAGGTTGCCTGTACTGTCACCAAGATAAGTTCCAATATATCAACTCTCTTTGGCATTTGAGAATATATCCTCATTATCTTAGTCATTATATTTCCTCAGAAAAAGTGTTAT